TGAAGACTGCGTTCAAGCATGAAACAGACTTTTGCCACTCGGCGTTGAATTCAGTGTACACACACACACACACACACACAGAGTGAGAGAGAGAGAGAGAGCTATATATAAGTGTTTCCTCTTCGAACATGTGAGGAAGAAAAGATTGGGTGGTGTTATGGAAATGGTGAAGAAAGAAAGAAAGAAAGAAAGAAAGAAAGAAAGAAAGAAAGAAAGAAAGAAAGAAAGAAAGAAAGAAAGACTGCTTTAAGAAGAAAGAAAGAAAGAAAGAAAGAAAGAGAGAGAGGGAAAGAATGTAAAAAGAAAGGCTCTTTAAGAAAAAAAAACGAGAGAAAGAAAAACTGCTTTATTAAAGAAAAAAGGAAAGAAAGCCTGCTTTAATAAATAAAAAAGAAAACATTCTTTAAGAAAGAAAGAAAGAAAGAAAGAAAGAAAGCCTGCTTTAAGAAAGGAAGTCTCCTTTAAGAAAAAAGAAAGCATGTTTTAAGAAAAAAAAGAAAGAAAGAAAGAAAGGCTCTTAAAGAAAGAAAAAGAGAGAAAGGTTGCTTTCTTAAGGGAAAAAGAAAGAAAGTCTGCTTTAAGGAAGAAACAAAGAAAAAAGAATGAAAAAGAAATAAAGAAAGGCTCTTTAAGAAAGAAAAAAATGCTGCTTTATTAAAGAAACAAAGAAAGACTGCTTTAAGAAATAAATAAAGAAATTCTATTTTAATGAAGAAAGCTTGCTTGAAGAAAGAAAGAAAGAAAGAAAGAAAGAAAGGCTCTTTAAGAAAGAAAGAAAGAAAGAAAGAAAGGCTCTTTAAGAAAGAAAAGAGAGAGTTATTAAAAGAAAAAGAAAGGAAACCTGATTTAAGAAAGAAAGAAAGCCTGTTTTAAGGGAGAAAGAAAGCTTGCCTTAAGAATGAAAGAGAGAGAGAAAGAGAGAGAGAAAGAGAGAGAAAGAGAGAGAGAATGAAAAAAGAAAGAAAGAAAAAAAGGAAAAGTTTGCTTCAAAAAAGAAAGCCTAATTGAAGAAAGAAAGAATTTTCATGGAGTAAGTAATATGTGGAAAGAAAACCTTATTCTTCGTTTTACTTTTTCATCTAGAAAACCCAGATATTGTCTTGGCGAATGGCGCCGTCACTCCAACGACTCCCCCGGAACCCACAGAGCGTAGTGTAACACCGACTTCGTCAAATCTGGACAGTCCCAAGGCACTTTCGACAGGACCTCCATCACCATGCACCGTAGAAAAGCCTATCCCTCGTATACATCGCACACCGTTCTCCGTCAACATAGCGAACACTTATCCGGATATACCAAGTAAGTAATACTTTTATTTATCACCTAGCAAAGCATACCAGTAAAACAGTCAACTTACACAGAAGGTAGTGTATGCTACGAGGGGGGTGCAGGGAATTCGACACGGCAAGAGCTTCACACGCTGACAGCTCACGCATTCATATGTACGGTACATAAGATTTACAAACTTCATTCTACCTACTGTGTTTATATTTACAGTACTACTACTGTGCATTATATTTGACCAGAATGAAATATATATATATATGTGTGTGTGTGTGTGTGTGTGTGTGTGTGTGTGTGTGTGTGTGTGTGTGTGTGTGTGTGTGTGTGTGTGTGCCATCCACCTGAAAGACCGTTTCGCTGTATTACAGCTCATCAGTGTGGCTAAACATCCGATTTCCTCAAGCCAGGATCAGAACGCAACTGATTTGGCATCAGTCGGAGATTTCTTCTCCTGAGCTATCAGAGAGGAAGTTGAATTTTTTACGTATTTATTTTAGAATAAACACGCCAGTCACTCAGAGTTGTCAATTCATAGAAGAACTATATATATATATATATATATATATATATATATATATATATATATATATATGGAAAAAAAACAAAACAAAAAAAAACATAAATTCATAAATTATAACATATATATATGAAGAAAATATATACGGAAAAAACAAACAAAAAATCCTTATAAATTCATAAATTATAACATATATATTATGAAGAAAAATATATACGGAAAAAACAAAAAAATTATCAATATGTCCTAAGATTTATTAGACCGAAACGTCCGACGTTGACATATTAACATTAAAACAACATAATTGTATATAAGGATTTTTGTTTGTTTTTTCCGTATATATTTTTCTTCATACTGTCGGATTTATAGCCATATATTTGCTTATATATATATATATATATATATAAACTTAAAGAAAAAATATGCAAAAAAACAATATTGTTTTTTATTAAATAAGTATTTGTTATTTTAATCTTTAAATTGGTTTTTAAAATAAAGGGAGTATTTTGTATGTTAAATAATAAAACTTTTCATTTTTTCCCCTGAAATTAATGAAAATTCATTGTACTAACCCTACGCACCCTAGCAAAACTAACTGTTCACTGTACCCACTTAGTTGTTTACACTTCTACCCAAAATTTGGTTACGATTGAAAAAATTAATGTGACGGACAGACTAACGGAAGTCCCAGAAGTTTATATATAGATAGCTAGTGGGTTGACCTACACTTCCAGATTTATTGAAATATAAAAAATAAATTAGTTGTATATTTAAATTCTTTTAAGACATTATTCTTCATAAAAAAGCATTTTAAGATTAACATGTTTTTCTGAGATTCTTTTTTGAGTGGTGGCATAGGTGACACAACAGTAATTCTTCCATGTTCTTGCCATTATTCGATTCTTACAAATCTAGGGCAAATTTAGAATTAGCAGGAATGAGCAGCATCAAGCTCCTGTTACGCATTTGGTTGATGCATTAAACTAAAGTTGCCAAATACTTTTCACTGTTTTGTAACTAGAGCATTGTGAGGAAAATACAATAAAACCAAAAAATAGAATAATAATAATAATAATAATAATAATAATAATAATAATAATTATTAAAAGACCACAAACAAAAATGTGCCTCCTTATTGATATGGCAGTCCCTGCAGACTGCAATGTATCTTTGACGATTTTCAAAAAGCTGTCAAAATACAAAGACCTTGAAATAGAAATCTCAAAAATGTGGCACATGGGAACATCACCAAACCCTGTTGTAGTTGGAGCCCTATGACTGGTTGGAAAAGATTTCAGTAGACTAATTGAAGGGATTCCTGGAAGTCCATGCCTCAAGGAGATACAAAAATTGTTCTGACAAGTACAGCCCACACTTTACGAAGGGCTTTATCTATGTAATTTTCTTTCTTTTTTTTTTTTTTGTCAGTGGAAAGTGTCATGATGCTATTTCTAACCTTAGGTCCATGGGCGGGACCCGGAAAGAAATGTGTAAACGCCAGAAATCAAAGGAAATAAAAATAATAATAATAACGAAAAAAAGAAAAAAGAAATACATTTTTCCTTGATGCAAGTTATAAAGAAAGTGGAAAAGTTTTTTTGCTCACATGTGCGATTTTATGACCACACTTCCGAAAAGGACAGAATCATTATCTTCCCACTTTCCAACGACAGCGTTCGGACGTAATTTGGCAGCCCTACTCATAGAGTAAGCGATTTGGTCGTTCCAACTCAGCGCAATGCTGACTTGAGTTCGACCTTTGTAACCATCGTTACCCTGACTTACTTCTAAAGAAAAAAAAAAGGAATCGGTCATACCCAAGAGACGTTTAGAAGTTTGTTTCACTATATTCTCTATAGCAGAAACTCTAGTTTTCGTATGCTTGCATCTTCTGTGTTTACATATTGAACAGGCAACTTCACCTAAGAAACACAAACCTACAACCTTTCAACTTTCATAACATTGTTGCTCGTCCTACCAATACCCGTATTGAGCTATTGATTGTAAACAAACAGCTTGTGATTGTATGAATTAACTCCCTTATAAACGCATCTAGTTTATTTCCGGTCGATTCAAAAGGGCATTAAAACCTTTTACTTATGTGCTCTGTCACCAGTCGATGTATCTATATACTTGCATAAATTTTATAGTATATATATATATATATATATATATATATATATATATGCATGTTTCATTACAATATATATATATATATATATATATATATATATATATATATATTAACACGATTGGTCTAGGAGATGGAAAATTCTTACACGAAAAGCCTGCGGTATATTGTCTGCTTCGTCTGTGGCATTTATTTGCACCGACTAAGTGTATCATTGGTTCCGAAAAGTGTGGATGGTTCTGCACAAGCCTTCACCACTTTAATCAAATCACTTGTGTTGGTTTTTCGGCGGTTTATTCTGCAAGAAGCGAGAGCAAAATCTAAAAGGTCAGCCAATCTAACAGTGATCTCATCTCACAATCCTCATACTTGCTCCATATGTGGCCTCCTTTGTAAATCACTAGCGGGTCTTAAATGCCACTTGAGATTATCGCACAAACTTTCATAACTGAATCAATAAGCTGTCAGATCCTCATACGTCGTCGAAACCGACGGAAGATATCCATTATATATATATATATATATATATATATATATATATATATATATACTGCTCAGAAAAACCTTGGGTATTTCGGCTTGTAGTAAAAAATGAGGAATAAGAAAGAAAAAACTAGGAACATGAAATTGAGGCGAAAACAATCGTCCAGAGTTCAAGCTCAGAGTCCAAAGAAAAAAACCCTCCAAAACGAGTAAAAGTAACTACGTAAAGTGCTCAATACACGAAGTAGAGCAAACCTAATATAAGCCTAAAGAGCCAGATAAACCTACTGGCCAGTTTTACCCTGACGATCCGTTTAGGTTAAATTTACCTGGCTCTTTTGGTTTATTTATATTATATATATATATATATATATATATATATATATATATTTATATATATTTGAATATGTACCTATCGACATACATTTCTTTCTGTATCGCGTCATTTGAGTGTTCAAAAGCACCAATCAGAGAGCAGACAAGGGAGAGAAGCAGAAAGCGATAGCTTTGAACTAGAGAGAAATAAAAACTAAACAAAACAACGAGTGTGAACTGAATGAGAAGAAGGGAGGAAAATGTTGATGGATGTTTTACGAGAGACAGGCAGTCGAGGGTCACGTTTATACTGCCTACCGCCGCCGAGATTTACCCACGCCAGGCGTAGACGCGTTAGCGGTCCCTACGAGAGTACGGGAAAATTATAGGTCGGCCGGTTATAGTCCTTCGTCACGCTTCACTTAACTGCACCGTCAGGAGTAGGTTGCGTTACATGTGCACATTAAGGGTGCGAATTTTCTCCCAGAGTGACAACAGTAATCTTGACTAGTGTGTCTGCATCCATACACCTGACACTTATACCTATCTCCACACCATCTATCTGTCTATCTATCTATCTATCTATTTATCTATCTATCTATCTATGGGTCACTCGCTCGTTTTGTATTTGTTTTTCTTTCTTTCTCCTGTATTTCTCTCTTTCTTTTCTCTTACTTTCCTTACATTGAATTCTTTGTTCTTTTCCTTCACAGTTTATTTTTGAAAATTCACATCCTTCTCTCGTTGTCTAGTAATTTCCCTCTTTATTTTTATATAGATTTTTTACATGGCCATTTGTGTTTTAATAAGATTAGGTCCGACAAGGTTGCAGACATTTTTGCGACAATGGATTTGCCTTCTTTCTTTCTTTCTTTCTTTCTTTCTTTCTTTATCACCTCCATCACAATTTTATACTTTCTTTTACTCATTCAAACTATTCTTCTTTCTTTCTTTCTTTCATTTTTTCTTTCTTTCTTTCTTTCTTTCTTTCTTTCTTTCTTTCTTTCTTTCTTGCTTTCTTGCTTTCTCACTCTGTCCGGCTTACGCCCTCGCTTTCATTGTTATATAACTTTCCCTTACTTCTCTATTTTTTTTCTTTTCGGTCTATGTTTTCTCTTATTTTTCGCCTTTTCTCTTTCTTTTCTTTCCTTACTTGCTCTCTTTCTTCTTTATTACATTCCTCTCTCTGTTTCGCCTAACTTTTTCTCTCTTTCTTTTGAGCTGCCTTTTCTTTCTTTCTTTCTTTCTTTCTTCTTCCTTTTCTTTCTCTGTCTTTTCTCTCTGTTTCTCACTATTTCGCCCCATCTGCCTCTCTCTTTCTCTCTTTATTTTTTCACTTTCTGTTTCTGGCTACGAAAATTATCTTATTTTCATTCAACGACGTCTTCTTTTCTTTTTTCACAACTTTTGCTTTTCTTTTTTCCTTATAGGTCTCTCATTAATCTCTCTCTCTCTCTCTCACTCTCTCTCTCTGTTTCATCTATCTATATAATTCTGTTCAGATCTATCTATCTATCTATCTATCTATCTATCTTGATCAGATATATCTATCTTAATCTATTCAGATCTATGTATCAATCAATTTCTTTACCTAACTCTGTTCAAAACAATGTCTCAATCAATCAATCTATCTTATTCTGCTCAGATCTATCTCTCAATCAATCGATATCATTTTATTCCGATCTATCTATCTATCTATCTATCTATCTATCTATCTATCTATCTATCTTCATCTATATCTATATATATATATATATATATATATATATATATATATATATATATATTATCCTATTCAGTTTTATGTATCAATCATTTTATCTATCAGTCTAATTCTGTTCACATCAATCTCTCAATAAATCGATCTCATTTTGTTACGATCTATCTATCTATCTCTATCTATCTATCTATCTATCTATCTATCTATCTCACTCTGTTCCTATCTATTTATCTATCTATCTATCTATCTATCTATCTATCTATCATCTATCTATCTATCCCACCTGTTCCCATCTCATCTATCTATCTATCTATCTATCTATCTATCTATCTATCCCATCTGTTCATATCTATCTATCTATCTATCTATCTATCTATCCCACCCTGTTTCCTATCTATCTATCTATCTATCCATCTATCTATCTATCTATCTATCCATCTATCTATCTATCCCACCTGTTCATTTCTATCTATCTATCTATCTATCCATCTATCTATCTATCTATCCCACTCTGTTCATCTATCTATCTCTATCTATCATCTATCCCTATCTATCTATCCCACCCTGTTCCTATCTATCATCTATCTATCTATCTATCCCATCTATCTATCTATCCCACTCTGTTCCTATCATCTATCTATCTATCTCTATCTATCCCACTCTGTTCATATCTATCTATCTATCTATCTATCTATCTATCTATCTATCTATCTATCTATCTATCCCATCCCACTGTTCCCATCTATCTATCTATCTATCTATCTATCTATCTATCTATCTATCTATCCCATCCTATCTATCTATCTATCTATCTATCTATCTATCTATCCCACTCTGTTCCCATCTATCTATCTATCTATCCCACCCTGTTCCTATCTATCTATCTATCTATCTATCTATCTATCTATCTATCTATCTATCCACTCTCTGTTCCTATCTATCTATCTATCTATCCCACTCTGTTCCTATCTATCTATCTATCTATCTATTGTTATCTTTTTCTTTTCTTTCCTATGTCAGTAAAACTTCATTTTTTTTAATATTTTTCTTCCTTCCTTCGTTTCTTTCTTTTCCCTTTCGCTTTTACTCATTTTTATTTTTGTAATTTTCTTCTGTTTTCCATTCACTCTCACTTCCTTGCTCTTTCTTATTCTTTCTTTCACTCTCCTTTCTTTTTATTTCTTCTCTTTCTTTCTTTCTTTCTTTCTTTCTCTTTTCTTTTTCTTTCTTTCTTCTCTTTTTCTCTCCCCTTTGTTTTTGCTTTCTCCTCTTCTTTCTTTCGCCTTCCTTTTTTTTTCTTTTTACTCTTTATTCTCTCTTTTTTCTTTCCTCTCTTTCTTTCGCTCACCTTTCTTTTTGTCTATTCCTCTCTTTCTGTTCCTTTCCTTCCCTCTTTCTTTCTCCTCTTCTTTCCTTCTCCATTCTTTTTCTTTCTTCTCTTGTTCTCTCTCTTTTCTTTTTTCCTTCCTCTCTTTCTTTTGCTCTCCTTCCTTTTCTTCTTCTTCTCTTTCATGCTCGCTTTTCCTCCTTGTCGTCTAATTACTATAAATATCCAATTTCAACGTTTTCATTTCTTTCTCTCTCAACTCTCTCCTTCATTTCTTTTTACCTTTTCTTTTCGCGCCATTGTCACCGATTTCTATAGTTAGTCATTATGCTCTTATTTTTTAATATTCTTTATTCTACACTCATCTACATTTCAGAAGAGCAGATTATTATTATTATTATTATTATTATTATTATTATTATTATTTCCCTTGATTTCTGGTGGGTACTCATTTCTTTCTGGTTCCTGCCCAGAGACTTAAGGTCAGAAATGTCATCATGACATTTTCCCCTGGGCAATTAAAACTTTTTTTAAAATTAAAAAAAAACATATTTTACATAGTTGAATCCCTTTGTAAGGTGTGGACTGTACTCGTGAGAACAATTCCTTGTACCTCTTCAAGGCATGGTCTTCCAGGAATCCTTTTAATGATTCTGCTGGGATATTTTCCAATAAATCCGAGGGCTCCAACTACAATTAGAATTCTTGATGTTCTCATGTGCCACATTTTTGAAATTTCGATTTCAAGCTCCTTGTACTTTGATAGTTTTTTGAAGATCTTCAAAGATACATTGCAATCTGCAGGGACTGCAATATAAATAAAGAGGTACTTTTTTTGTTTGCGGTCTCTAATAACAATGTCTGGGTGATTAGCTTTGATTGTTCTGTCAGTGTGTATTGTGTAGTCCCATAAAATTGTTACAGGTCCTATCACCGTAACCGGGTCTGTTCATACCAATTATTATTATTATTATTATTATTATTATTATTATTATTATTATTATTTCATCTTTAAATTATCTTCTATGTTTATAATTCCATGTTTAAACTGTCAGCCATAGACAACCGTTTTCTCAGATCAACGATTAAAAATGGTTTCAACCGAAGGAATCCTGTGGGTCCTTGCACATGTAATCAGAAGTTAAAATAATGACACATTCCAGATGTTGATGTTCTACACTACTTTAAACAAAAGGTTAGGAAGGAAACTCCTACCAATAGCAGAAAGAGCGATAACAGTTAGTTGACATGCTAAGCCCAGTTTCTTGAAGAACTGGTTTAAGAAAATAAACTTTATAAATTTCAACCTGTATCAGTCCTCCAATATGACAGTGAATGCTGGACAATTTCCTCACAGATGAAGAAGAGAATTGACACAACAGAAATTTGGTTTTATGGTTCTCTTTTGAGAATACCATGGACGGAACATGTGAGCAACGAAGAGGTTTTAAAGAAAATGGAAACAAAAAGAACACATATTTAGAATCAGAAAGGAGCAATTGAAATTTCTAGGACACATAAAGAGGAAAGAGGGCTTGGAAAATTTAACACTCACAGGACATATTGAAGGCATGAGGGACATAGGAAAACAACACATAGCCTACCTAGCAAGCTTGAGTAAATGAATGGCAGGACAAGGTTTAGGAAAGATAGCAAAATGACAAAATTTATTAAGAGCTACAAAGGACAGGGAATTGTGGAGAGTCATGATCACCAATGTCCTGAATGGACACGGCACATAGATGAAGTAATATTAACAGTTCGGTCAATGAGTGCCGAATGTTTCCTTATAATAGAACAATTAATCTCACTATTACCATTGTCATTACTATTACCACTACTATTATTACAATTACTAGCATCATTACCATTACTGTTAACATTACTATTACTACTAACATTACCATTATTATTATTATTGCCAATACTATTAGCATCACTATTAAACATTACCATTACTATTAGCGTTACCATTACTATTACCATGAACATTACAATTGTCAATACTATAAACATTACCATTACTATTACTATTACCATTGTCATTACCATTACTATTACCACTGTTATTACCATTGCTATTACTATTACCATTGTTATTACCATTACCAGTGTCATTACGATTACTATTACCATTATTATAAACATTACCATCGTCATTACTATAAGCATTACCATTACTACTACCATTATCATTACTATTACTATTGTCATTACTATTACTATTGCTCTTCTCATTACTGTAAACATTACCATTACCATTAATATTACCATTGTCATTACGATAAGCATTACCATTACTATTACCATTTCTGTTATTATTACTATTACCGTTACCATTACTTTTACCATTGTTATTATTATTACCATTACTGCTACTATTAACATTACTATTACCATTGTTATTACTATTAGCATTATTGATATTACTATTACTATAAGCCATAACTGTTAGCATTACTATTACCATTACCATTACTATTACCACTGTCATTACTATTACCATTACTGTTATTATTAACATGACTATTATCATTACTATTGCAATTAATACTATCACTAACATTACTATTTTCATTATTATTAGTGTTATCCTTACTATTACCGCTACCATTACCAATACCATTGCCCCCACCCCCTTTTCGCAGCTTTTCGCAGCTTTTTTTCACTACCTTTTGGGTAAACGTGAAAGATTCAGTCAATCAGTGATAGTTATCACTGTTGTGATATTATCTACTGATTTACTAACAACAACACCTGCTCGGCGAGCTGTCATCATTCTGAAGCCAAAACGAGGCTAGCATTTTATCTCTTTTCTTCCTCTTCGCCACAGACACTGACAAGTGGTGCAGACGCAGAAAACATACAAGACACACGTTTAATTGCAAAGATTTCCTGTTGCAAGCACGAGCACAAAAGGCAGTCGTCTAGGCAAGTCTCAAACGTGCCGTTTCCGTTGAAGCACATCTTCAGTGACCATAATTTTCTACTGTCTGTGTGTGCGCGAGTCTTTCGACGTGAATTGCCCTCGTATTAGGCTTATAGAATCTTTCACTAGATTGGAAAAAATAGCAAAATTTGAAAATCGACATCTGTTTATATAGAATTTTAGATTTTTCTTTTTAATATTAAGATTTATTAAAATCAGCCGACAACGTCTTTTGTTATTACATTACTCTGTTACATTCTTTCATTTTTCTATTATCTTTTCTCATTCTTCAAATTTTAAAATTTTGTAATTTAAATTGTGTGTATTTAGGCAGCATCTTTTCATTGATGCATGTTTCATTAAATAATATAGACAAGTTTTGTCTATTTTATGTAACCTTGTGTAAAGGCAAATTAAAATAGCCACTGTAATTGTCATCTTTCATAATGGCTCATGTAAGCCGAAAGCTTAGATAGGATTAAAAAATATGGATCAATATTGTGATTTTCTTTCTTCTTTTAATGATAATGCTATTAAGCTTATCAGACGATATAAAAAGAATTTACGGCTTTCTTCTGATGATTGGATTTCGAACTTAACCCTTTATTTTGTCCACAGATGGTTTAATATTCGTGTCAGCTTCTGTTGTGACTTTTCTAATTATCTTCATAGTTTTGGTTTATCGGGTCCGTACTGATCCTTCAGTATCTGTCTATATCTCTGAGATGAGGTATTATGATTACTTTCATTCTCTACATTATTCGGACTGTTATCTTCATCTTGACTGCCATATTCAAAACGTTTCGAGTCTTCTTTAGGTGATTGGAATTTTATTTCGATGACGATAACAGTCCGAATAATGTAAATAATGTAAGTAATCATAATACCTCATCTCATATATATATATATATATATATATGTGTGTGTGTGTGTGTGTGTGTGTGTGGAATTTTCTCTTTTTTTACCCAATACAAGACCCAAGAGCCACTCAAGGTAAAGTATGCCTAAGTATGCCACTCAAGGTAAAGTAGCCTAAGAAAGGGCAAGAAGTGAAGTTATTGGGTCTATGCAGGAAAGCTAATTCTAGAATTGAAGATGTCAACACTTAATAAGTGGATAACATTTCAGTGTTTACTCGAAGACATTCGAAGTATAACCTATCACCCACTTCACACCCTCCCCGTTTTTTTTTGGGGCGGGGGGTAGCAGAAGTAGTGGTTTATCTCTTGTTTCCTTTTTAGGATTGGGTTTCCGGTTTTTTCTTAAGTCTACTTCAACTCTATACTTTTAACCACTGCGCCTAAACTCTGAAATTTTATTTTATTTTTTCCTCTATTGGATTACGTAGGTTTGCCTATCGTTCGGTTCTTGCGAACAGGAGTAGAGGTTTATCCTTTTTCCTGATTAGGATTGTTTTTCCGGTTTTTTCTTAAGTCTACTTCAACTCTATACTTCTAACGTCTCCGCCAAAACTCTGAACTTTTATTTTTTCCTCAATTGGACTGGGTAGGTTCGCCTATCGTTTGATTCTTGCGTTCCCCCAGGTCTTTTGAACAGGAGTAGAGGTTTATCCCTTGTTTCCTGATTAGGATTGGGTTTCTGGTTCTTTTTTAAATCTACTTCAAATCTATACTTCTCATGTCTCCGTCTGAACTCTTACATTTTATTCAGTAATTATTTTTCCCCTCCCAATTCTTTAGACATTAAAACTTTTACCTTAGAATTTCAAAAACGCATTTAACCATTGATTGTTTAAAACTGGAGAAG